GTTAATAGTGTAGTGAAGGCATCGCGCATCCTCACGCACATGTGCAGGTGGGTTAACAGTGTAGTGAAGGCATCACGCATCCTCACGCACATGTGCAGGTGGGTTAATAGTGTGAAGGCATCGCGCATCCTCACGTACATGTGCAGGTGGGTTGATAGTGTAGTGAAGACATCGCGCATCCTCACGCACATGTGCAGGTGGGTTGATAGTGTAGTGAAGGCATCGCGCATCCTCACGCACATGTGCAGGTGGGTTAATAGTGTGAAGGCATCGCGCATCCTCTCGCACATGTGCAGGTGGGTTAATAGTGTGAAGGCATCGCGCATCCTCACGCACATGTGCAGGTGGGTTAATAGTGTAGTGAAGGCATCGCGCATCCTCACGCACATGTGCAGGTGGGTTAATAGTGTGAAGGCATCGCGCATCCTCACGTACATGTGCAGGTGGGTTGATAGTGTAGTGAAGGCATCGCGCATCCTCACGCACATGTGCAGGTGGATTAATAGTGTAGTGAATGCATCGCGCATCCTCACGCACATGTGCAGGTGGGTTAATAGTGTAGTGAAGGCATCGCGCATCCTCACGCACATGTGCAGGTGGGTTAATAGTGTAGTGAATGCATCGCGCATCCTCACGCACATGTGCAGGTGGGTTAATAGTGTAGTGAATGCATCGCGCATCCTCACGCACATGTGCAGGTGGGTTAATAGTGTAGTGAAGGCATCGCGCATCCTCACGCACATGTGCAGGTGGGTTGATAGTGTAGTGAAGGCATCGCGCATCCTCACGCACATGTGCAGGTGGGTTAACAGTGTAGTGAAGGCATCACGCATCCTCACGCACATGTGCAGGTGGGTTAATAGTGTGAAGGCATCGCGCATCCTCACGTACATGTGCAGGTGGGTTGATAGTGTAGTGAAGACATCGCGCATCCTCACGCACATGTGCAGGTGGGTTGATAGTGTAGTGAAGGCATCGCGCATCCTCACGCACATGTGCAGGTGGGTTAATAGTGTGAAGGCATCGCGCATCCTCACGTACATGTGCAGGTGGGTTGATAGTGTAGTGAAGGCATCGCGCATCCTCACGTACATGTGCAGGTGGGTTGATAGTGTAGTGAAGGCATCGCGCATCCTCACGCACATGTGCAGGTGGGTTAATAGTGTAGTGAATGCATCGCGCATCCTCACGCACATGTGCAGGTGGGTTAATAGTGTAGTGAATGCATCGCGCATCCTCACGCACATGTGCAGGTGGGTTAATAGTGTAGTGAAGGCATCGCGCATCCTCACGCACATGTGCAGGTGGGTTGATAGTGTAGTGAAGGCATCGCGCATCCTCACGCACATGTGCAGGTGGGTTGATAGTGTAGTGAAGGCATCGCGCATCCTCACGCACATGTGCAGGTGGGTTAATAGTGTAGTGAAGGCATCGCGCATCCTCACGCACATGTGCAGGTTCGTTGATAGTGTAGTGAAGGCATCGCGCATCCTCACGCACATGTGCAGGTGGGTTGATAGTGTAGTGAAGGCATCGCGCATCCTCACGCACATGTGCAGGTGGGTTAACAGTGTAGTGAAGGCATCACGCATCCTCACGCACATGTGCAGGTGGGTTAATAGTGTGAAGGCATCGCGCATCCTCACGCACATGTGCAGGTGGGTTGATAGTGTAGTGAATGCATCGCGCATCCTCACGCACATGTGCAGGTGGGTTAATAGTGTGAAGGCATCGCGCATCCTCACGCACATGTGCAGGTGGGTTAATAGTGTAGTGAAGGCATCGCGCATCCTCACGCACATGTGCAGGTGGGTTGATAGTGTAGTGAAGGCATCGCGCATCCTCACGTACATGTGCAGGTGGGTTGATAGTGTAGTGAATGCATTGCGCATCCTCACGCACATGTGCAGGTGGATTAATAGTGTAGTGAAGGCATCGCGCATCCTCACGCACATGTGCAGGTGGGTTGATAGTGTAGTGAAGGCATCACGCATCCTCACGCACATGTGCAGGTGGGTTAATAGTGTGAAGGCATCGCGCATCCTCACGCACATGTGCAGGTGGGTTGATAGTGTAGTGAAGGCATCGCGCATCCTCACGCACATGTGCAGGTGGGTTGACAGTGTAGTGAAGGCATCGCGCATCCTCACGCACATTTGCAGGTGGGTTAACAGTGTAGTGAAGGCATCGCGCATCCTCACGCACATGTGCAGGTGGGTTAATAGTGTGAAGGCATCGCGCATCCTCACGCACATGTGCAGGGGGGTTAAGAGTGTAGTGAAGGCATCGCGCATCCTCACGCACATACGCAGGTGGGTTAATAGTGTAGTGAAGGCATCGCGCATCCTCACGCACATACGCAGGTGGGTTAATAGTGTAGTGAAGGCATCGCGCATCCTCACGCACATGTGCAGGTGGGTTGATAGTGTAGTGAAGGCATCGCGCATCCTCACGCACATGTGCAGGTGGGTTAATAGTGTGAAGGCATCGCGCATCCTCACGCACATGTGCAGGTGGGTTAACAGTGTAGTGAAGGCATCGCGCATCCTCACGCACATGTGCAGGTGGGTTAACAGTGTAGTGAAGGCATCGCGCATCCTCACGCACATGTGCAGGTGGGTTGATAGTGTGAAGGCATCGCGCATCCTCACGCACATGTGCAGGTGGGTTGACAGTGTAGTGAATGCATCGCGCATCCTCACGCACATGTGCAGGTGGGTTGATAGTGTAGTGAATGCATCGCGCATCCTCACGCACATGTGCAGGTGGGTTAATAGTGTGAAGGCATCGCGCATCCTCACGCACATGTGCAGGTGGGTTGACAGTGTAGTGAAGGCATCACGCATCCTCACGCACATGTGCAGGTGGGTTAATAGTGTGAAGGCATCGCGCATCCTCACGCACATGTGCAGGTGGGTTGATAGTGTAGTGAAGGCATCACGCATCCTCACGCACATGTGCAGGTGGGTTGACAGTGTAGTGAATGCATCGCGCATCCTCACGCACATGTGCAGGTGGGTTGACAGTGTAGTGAAGGCATCACGCATCCTCACGCACATGTGCAGGTGGGTTAATAGTGTGAAGGCATCGCGCATCCTCACGCACATGTGCAGGTGGGTTGATAGTGTAGTGAAGGCATCGCGCATCCTCACGCACATGTGCAGGTGGGTTGATAGTGTAGTGAAGGCATCGCGCATCCTCACGCACATGTGCAGGTGGGTTAATAGTGTAGTGAAGGCATCGCGCATCCTCACGCACATGTGCAGGTGGGTTGATAGTGTAGTGAAGGCATCGCGCATCCTCACGCACATGTGCAGGTGGGTTGATAGTGTAGTGAAGGCATCGCGCATCCTCACGCACATGTGCAGGTGGGTTAATAGACTGTCGTGAAGGCATCGCCCATTTTCAGCAGTCATCTGTCCACGTGGCCAGTGTTTAATCCATGAGCAGCTCCCTCCCGCCTCTACGATTATTTTAAAGCCAATCCCAGACATCGTGTCATTCCAGCTGTGAATACTGGGGAATGTCGTCTTACCATGTGCCCCTGTGTTATGATCAAAGTATCCCACTTGACCCAGCAATAAGTAAGATTTATAGTCAATAATGAAAACAGAGAACATGGATTGACCCCAGCAATTTGACTTAGGAGACCGGGAGCGGGGATGGGAGTGCCAGGTGATAAAATTCTCATCAGTCACAATGAGAAGCCACTAGACAAGGCCCACCACGGAGGAAGCAGGAAAAGCAGGAGACCACACTGAGGGCATAGCATTTGGGAGTAAGAAAGCAAACAGAAGGACAGCCAAATCCATTCCCCAAGTTCTGGGGAGTGGGGAGGAGGAGGAAGGACAATGGCAAGGGCTGCTGATTTTCTTTTCGTTTTAACTTTAAATGATGTGCATGTATTACTGTGATTGTAACAGCTCGAGGTTTTGTAACGCTCCCCTTCCTTAGATTGCTTTTGATTAATGAGCACATTTTGGCCTATTTGAAGATGAGAACGGTGCAATCTAAGGCAGAGTCACACTTGTCGACTGCCCTTCATCAGGAGTGGAAAAACTGTACTCTGCTGGCTTCTTCTGAGGCTGGCTGGCAAAACCTATTTAAAATATTCAGAAGGAGCTGGTGCATTATAGGGTCCATTCTTACAGGGTCCTGTGAGCCCCCTCTGCTGGTGCAGAGATGAGAAACTGTGGAAATAAGGTCACAAGACACAGAGATCAAGAGAAAAAGGGTCTGGGCCCAGGGGTCCACTGCCAAGCAAAGCACAGAGTCCGGCAGTGGCCCGGAGTACCTGGACACTCTGACTTTTATTGAGGACAAAGCAGGGGGCAGGGCAGGTAGCGCAAGGCACTGGCAGTCAGTGGTAGGGTCAGGTACTCACGTGTCTTGGACACGGGCCCAGGACGTTCAAGTAGTCGAGGCGACGAGAAAACCTAACGCGTCAGCACGTTTCCCATACTTGTTAAGAAAGAACAAAGACATTCAGATTTATATTCGTTTTACTGATTCCATCTCCTAAGAATAAGAGGAACCAGGTGCAGAAGTGGATTGTGGAAGTAGCCATGGAACGTGAGCAGTGAAGCGCAGCCTCACCTAGAGGCCATGAAGCCCCCGGATGTCTGCGGGTGTCCCTGACAGCTGTCAGGCCTGCCGCAAGAGCTTGGAGGAGCGGAGTTTCCTCCTCACTCCTCTGAGGAAGGTCTATGTCTTGGACATCTCAGACGTCTCCTTCCCTAGCTGGCTAAACAGCAGGTGCTTTCCCAGTGCTGGCGCTGCCGCACAGCCGAGGCGCCCTCCAGCAGCCCTTACGTGGGCGCGACAGAAGGCTTGGAGCGTCTCGCCTTAGGATCACTTTGATCACCATGTCACCTGCTTCATAACCCGATAATCATCAGTAAAAGGTTATACTGAGTGTATGTATTTCTGTGATTATATGTGAATACCTGTGATTACTTACGATATGTAGGAGTAACTGTGTAACTGTACCTCTTTTCTAGTTCTGTATTCACATGGGAACAGGCGGAGGCTTCAGAACCTTGGCACTTGCGGGGTCTTCCTTGGCACATGAAGAAAGTGGCCGTTTTATCTAATAAGGTCCATTTGCACTGGTGTTCTCTGAAACCCTGTCTGTCTGGGGTTTTATTCATGGGAGACAGTAACTAAGTGGCGTGAACATGAAACAGTTCTCAGCATTTTTGGTGTGTTGCGCAGACATCCCTAGAGGCGCTTCTCCTCCGTCCACACCAATGTCGTGTCGCAGCTCACACCCCTGGGCTGCACCCTGGATTAGAAACACCTCTTTTTACCAGAAGGGTGACATGATTTTCTTTCACCATGGTCTCCAGCACTGAAAGGAGCCTGGCGGAGCAGCTACTCAGAGTGAGTGCCGAGTCGCTCTGAACGGAGGGGACCCCACCGCTGCATCTTTTGCCAGGTGATGCTTTGCAGTCAAGTTGGAAGATGGAACAGTCCTAGATGCCAGCCATATTTGCATGCCAAGTGTCATTTTTTAAAAAAAAATCTTCACCTTTTTTTCGTAAAGAAGGGGCTTTCACTATGTTGCCTGGGCTGGCAAACTCCTGGCCTCAAGTGATCTTCCCAGCTCGGCCTCCCGAAGTGCTGGGATTACAGGCATGAGCCACTGCCCCCAGTCCCTTTTTTTCTGGAAGTTTTAAGATACTTGAGGCATGCCTTTGTTCAGCCAAAAAGAACTATTAGATGGAAAAAAGCAGGAGGCACTACATTATGTTTTAAATCTCATACTTAACCTCAATAACTAGGAAATGTAGAAAACAAGGCTTTCCTTACATTAAGTGGGTAGATGAGTGAACACAGGTTCTAAACAGGAGAGCACAGAACACCCCTGACGGCTGCCCGGGACAAATGATCCAGGACATGCTGACCCACGTGACAGCATGTGCCACTCAGAGGTGTCAGCTCGAAGACAGAAGGAGGAAACGGAGACCAAGGTGGCATCAGCAGCTTCTGCCGACCCCGGCTCCAGGTGGGGTGGTGTTGGCTCAATGGCGACACTGTATGAGGCGGGAAGAGGGGAAGGGCCAGCCACTTGCTGGTGCCTGGCTATCCTCTTGGGCATCAGCTTCCAGCCCTGCAGCTTGAGGGGACTGAGCTTACCCACTTCCATGGGTGGGCCCTGCCACACTGGGCTGGTTCACAACTCAGGACTGGGTGTGAGCTGTTAGGGAATAGGCTTCCTGATTTCCAGAGGCCATCAGTGTGCAAGGGTGCAGCCCTGGGAGCCACCTCATGAGCCGGCAGGATGGTGGAAGGGACGTGCAGTCCTGGATCAAGGGTTGCCTCCAGCCAGCCCTACCCACGGACTCGGTGTGTGAGCCCACACATCTGCATTCGACACCAGGCTCCTGTCTCCTGCGCTGATGCAGGCTTGGGACCTCCAGAGCAGCGGGCGGGATGACGCCCTCAACCTGCATTTCCTTCTCCCGGCTGTTTTATTCTGTCAACTTGACTTCTATAATACAATTTCCACATGGCGACCCTGCCTTCCAAAGCGACCACTGTCGGTTTCAATGCACTCACGGCGTATTCTCAGCATTCTTCACTGGCAGTGGAAAATGCTTCAGTACTTTATTGAAAGAAAGCAATAAATAATACTGTGATAAAAACAGTTCAAAAGTAGACTGTACAGACTTTGTTACATAATCAGGAAGTTCACAAAAGATTAGAAAAATGGAACAGTGACAATGAATTGGACAAGTAAATTAAAAGCAGAAACCAAATGTGAAAGAGGCTGCCTCTGTCTCTGTTACCTGCTGCACAATAAATACCACGCCATGGTCTGCCACGCTTTGCTGGCTTTTTAATATGCCACGTAAAAAGTAAAAGCCACATCTGCAACTTACACAACCCACAATGGCTACATCATCAAAGTCTAAAAATGCCCCACTAGGTTCATTCTTTAAACATGTTTACAAACAAATGTAAAAAGATAATTTACGTAAGAAAAATAAGGCCTTTATTAGAGTTGCTCTACACGGTTTTCTGGGTCTCCCGCCTTGTCCGCTGTGTGCACCAACTTGCAGGATGAGAGAGCGGCGCCCGGTGACTGGCCCTCACTGGGCTCCATGCATGTGTCTCCGCCCACTCCCAAGGAGGAGAGGCAGGGAAGAGGGCGCAGGGGCTGGGCTGGTCCCAGGTGACCCCAGCCCGAGTCTCTCCAGCTGAGAGAACTGCTCCCAGCTCACAGCCTGTGCCAGCCACTGAAGACAAGCTCCCCAAACGCAGAGACAAGGCTAGGAAAGCGTTAGCCAGTGCTGGGGGCTTCTCGTCATGCCGTGATAGTCTTTCCAGCCCACACTTTATTAGAAGCTGGTATTTAACACCAGCTACTGTAAACCTGCTCACGCTGCGGAATGAAGCATTTCTTGCTAGAAAAGGTATACTTAAGGTCAGTCATTAAAATACAATTGCTTGAAATTAGGTATGCGTATTTCAAAATGATTGCTGTAGAGCTAGTTTGCATCTGTAAAGGATAATGCACATTGCTTCTGCCATAACTTTATAAACGTAGTAAAATCCTCTGTCGTGGTTTGTCATTAAAAAATTAAACAATAATTACAATAAATGCATAATTTACAAAAGCCCTATATTTGTTCACAGGATTTATACATACCAGCATTACAGTACATTCATTTGAAAGACTAGAATTAGGAATAAGAACACCATTTGAAAGGGTGTTTATAGCCTGGACACATGAAAAGTAAGTATATAAACGAAGAGGCAGAAGTCTACATAAATAGAAGAACATTAAATTCTAAAATATTTTCTCTATGGTATTCATGAATTTTTCACTAATTAAAAACTCTGTAATAAAATATCTTCGGGTCCATATAACAAGTATTAACAGATTAAAGATTCCGTTGGATTCTAAAATGTCGTCTCTGTTGGATTCCAAATGCTGCGTAATCATCTGTAGAAGTAGTGGGGGTACACTGGAAAATAAACAGAACATCCGCTCTTACCACAGGCCAGGCCGCGCTGATGAACGGGCTTCTGACGCTGGGGCCCATGTCCCCCAACACTCACTGCCCCAGGACCCCTCACGTTCTGCGCTACAGTTGCTGAGAATGACTGGACACAACATCAAGGGCTGTGCACATTCCTGAGACAACTCCTTGGCTGACTTTATTTGGGCTGATATCTACAAGTTCTCAATTAAAAATAAAAGATGAACAAACCAGTCAGATACTCCAGCGGCGACCTTCAAGTTGCTTAGAGCAGTGAGGAGAGAGCAGGCCTCTCACCAGCCAGAGGCCACAGTGTTAGGAAGCAGACTCTCCACACTGAAGGCTGTTGGTGTCACACCCTCATACAGCCTGCTGAAGCTTCACACATAATTAACCACAAAACTTTGGGTTTGTTTCATTTACGAAAGCTTAGGAATTAGACCAGTGTGCACGGTGAGGTCAGTGTGCCAGAGACCGTCTCCCAACGTGCTCTGCCACGTGCTGCTCTCTGCCCGCTCCACACCGAAGGCATCCGCAGACAATTAAAATGAGTCAGCACTTTTGGGTTTAAGGAAAAGGGGAAAATACAAGAGGACACACTAACCTTTGTATGATCAATTGTAACAGTGAAACTATCTTAATGGTACAGAGAGCCTGTCTCTCTATGGGGAATTCCCCACACACTGCACTGGCTTTCATGGCCCACACCCCTAGCCTGGCACTGCAGCCCTGGCGACTCATGCTGTGCGCTGAGCCATCTCGGGGTTCTGGTGCTCTCTACTCACCAACAGGAGGCTTTAGCAGGAGTAAGTCCTGACTGTAGCAGAATCCAACCTCTGTGTTCCTGATACACTGCCTGTTTCAACAGCCACGAGAGGAAGCGTGCAAACACAGCGTGCAGTTAGTCTTAGAACATCACATGGGGGCACAAGTAGACACACATCTTCACACCTATAGCAGCGCCTATGAGGGACCTGGGGGGAGCTTGCCTGAGTGGGCGGGATGGAGCCAGAGAAAAAGATCCAGTGTCACCCGGTGGTGGCTCTCCCCGGCTCCCAAGGAGCTCCGGGAGACTCTGGACACTACTCCGAAATACTAAGCACCAAATGGTACAGTAACAATTCTGAAATGCACATCTACATAAATGACACCTACTTAGAGTGATCCCTTTGTCTCTTACTAAGCTCTACATTCATAGACCAATGGGGCTTTCTCTCTGCCCTAAGTGCTCCGTCTCTAACAGGTATGAAGTAAACAACCACTGAGCGCAGAGGCAGACGACGTCAGGCACAAGGCCGGCCTAAGACGAGGAAAGAATCTGGCTGCCCAGCACTGGCTGTGGTACCTGGAAAGCCCTGCCCTCTTCTCCCGGGGGAAGAGCAGAGCAGGTGAGGAGGTCTGGCTGCAGGGATGGGGCACTGGCCAGGGAGTGGGGTGAGGGCTGACCCAGAAACTGAAGGCCAGTCTCGCCTCCTACCAGAAATATTCATCGTAGAGACCACAGAAGCTTTTGGTTCTGAGTCAGGAAACACTGTGTGGCCATAAGTAAGCCTGATTTCCATGAACAACCTGGATTCTAAGTTTTTACAAATAGAAGCAGGAACTCAGAAGCAGGTGCTGGCTGCTCCAGGTTATGTGTTTTGTTTTCCCACAGGTATACCAGGAACACTTATCAACATCCTGCCTGGTTCCAGCAGAGCCGCTAAGACAGTTGGACTGCTGGTGAGGACAGACGGATCTTCACAAATCCTTTGACCCTAAGAGCCTGGGAGACCCGCTGGAGTTTACCCCGCCATTCCCCTATTTAAAAAGCCATTAAAACAATCCATTTTGCTGGGGATGGTGGCTCACGCCTGCAACCCCAGCAATTTGGGAGGTCAACGCAGGAGGATTGCTTGACCCCAGGAGTTTAAGACCAGCCTGGGCCACATGGTGTAACCCCATCTCTACAAAAAATTCCAAAACGTAGCCGGGTGTGGTGGTGTGCACCTGAGTTCCAGCTCTCTGGGACACTGAGGTTGCAGTAAGCTGAGACTGAGCCGCTGCACTCCAACCTGGGCAACAGAGAAAGACCCTGCCACAGTAATAATCATCCATTCAGCAGGCTTCTGCCTGAGTCATTTATCTAAGAGTAAAAAGTCCTCTTCTTTATAATAAATTCCCTACACCTTTTCCTAGGGTTAATTTTTTTTTTTTTTTTTTTTTTTTTGAGATGGAGTTTTGCTCTTGTTAGCCAGACTGGAGTGCAGGGGCATGATTTTGGCTCCCTGCAACCTCCACCTCCCAAGTAGCTGGGAGTACAGGCGTATGTCACCATGCCCAGCAAAGTTTCTTGTATTTTTACTAGAGATGGGGTTTCGCCATGTTGGACAGGCTGATCTGGAACTCCTGACCTCAGGTGATCCACCCACCTTGGCCTCCCAAAGTGATGGGATTACAGGTGTGAGCCACCATGCCCGGCCTGGGTTTACTATTCATTCATCCAAACTCTCATTCTTAATATTCCTGTTAACATTTGACAAGGGGAATGTGACTTATCAGAAGGAAAACTGAAATCGAAGCCACAAGGAAAACATGAACACACTCATGTGGACTCTTCAGGTGACAGAGCCTGAGTTGAAGGCCAAGCTATAGTTACACTTTCTAAGAATTATATGCATGATTCTTGGAAGAAAAACAGTAATTTTTTAAAAGTCCCTAGTTAAAAAGATATACTGGATTTTCTTCCATAAGTATATTATAAATCTCTGGCAAACAATAGGTAAATAATATAGCGTTTTACTAACAATGCCACAAAGTAAGCCATTCACACCCAAAATGTCCGGTTTAACTAAGGTTTTATAAAAATGTACTCCTGATTTCTATGCAGGTGACAGAGAATAAAACTTAGGAACCTACTTATAGGAGGGGTAATGACAAACAATTTTGCAAAACCCTCATTAGCACAGTTTTCAGTTATTATTATTATTTTGTAGAGATGGGGTCTCACTGTGTTGCCCAGGCTAGTCTCAAACTTGAGCTCAAGTGATCCTCCTGCCTCAGCCTCCCAAAGTGCTAGGATTACTGACATAAGCCATCATGCCTAATTAGCACTTTAAACATTTTTTTTGTTTTTTTGAGACAGAGTCTCACTCTGTTGCCGAGGCTAGAATGTGGTGGCACAATCTTGGCTCACTGCAACCTCCACTTCCCTGGTCCAAATGATTCTTGTGCCTTAGCCTCCCGAGTAGCTGGGATTACAGGCACGTGCCACCACGCCTGGCTAATTTTTGTAGAGACGGCCTTTTGCCATGTTGGCCAGCCTGGTCTGGAATTCCTGGCCTCAAAGATTAGCAGTTTTTAATGCCACTTCGTTTCCTCCAGTCTGCTTGCTGCCCTCAGAACGGAGAATGAGTGACAGCGGCCTGGAGCACAGGGGCTGCCGAGCAGCCGCCACTGACACAGGCTTAGAACTTCACCAGCTTTATGAATGACACATTTAATCGTCACAGATACTCTATGGGGAAGGTACTACTACGATGGCCATTTGACAGATGGGGAAACCGAGGCACAGTGCAGTTAAATGACTTGCTCAAGGTCATGTACCTCCTAGCAGCAGAGCTGGAGTCAAACCTAGGCAGCCTGGCTCTCCAACCTGTGCACTGCCTTTCATTAGATGAGTGCAGGATTAGAGCCGAGAGACCTGTCAGGAAGCCATGGTCAACTGTTAACCTCAAATCAAAGTGGTTGTCAAAGGGAAGACCCCACACAGCGCCTGACATCATGGCAGTGATATGCTCTCTCTGGCTGGTATATTTGGTGGCGGCCTCACTCCACTGGGGACTTCTGGGAGGTAGACGTGACTGCACAAACAGCAGCAGCAGGGAGGGGAGAAAGGCAGGCAGAGCTTACATGAGCTGGAAAGTGTTATTTAAAATGTACTGGGTTATTTTCTCTGGTGCGCGGAGCACTAAATTCTGTGGTCGGGAAGCTACTACTCCACTGTTTCCTGAAAGAGCTTCCAGCACGGCCTGGCGCGCACACGTGGCTACAAGGACGCCTCAGGCTTCCTGAGAACACGGACGAGCACTGAGCTTCATTAGTTGGAAAAATATGCTAAGATTCAACCAGACAAAATGTTTTTTAAAATTCTCTTATTATGGTTAAACTTCTGTAAACAAATGTTAGAGCTAATTTAAAAACATTTATTTTGGACATGCAACCATACTCAAGTGCCTTGTAACGTATTAAAGAGGCGGTTTCAGACCATGATTAATGCTCCAGACAGAAAGCTGCTCATGCTCCCCGCAAGCTGCCGGTTAGCGCGACCCACCACATACCGTCCATCTGCATCTTCTTTGGCTGCATAGAGGGCGAGGACATGGAGGAAGTCACCCGGAAGTTTGCAGGGAGCGTCTCTGCTGACCCAGCAGCTAAGCCACGAATGTCCTTTGGTCTAAACTTTTTTCTCCATGAAGGTGCTCTCCTAAAGCTTTTATCATCATCCTGGTAAATGAAAGAATAAACAGCCAGGTTCATTTAAAAAATAATAAAGGTCAGAGATGGAAAGTTAAATGTGCTTTATAATGACTGCTGAACTCAAGAATGTTTTCTTGTTCACATGTACGGAATCCCTTCTTTATGACCACAGTGTATTGCTCAAACCGGAACTTCAGCAAGAAATGGGGCATGGTGATGGTCGGGCTGTGTCTCAGCTAGCTGACTGAGGTGGGTGCTGGGCCGTGGGGACGATCCTTCTACCCAGCATCATGGCTGAGTGAGGTGGGTGCTGGGCCGTGGGGACGATCCTTCTACCCAGCATCATGGCTGAGTGAGGTGGGTGCTGGGCCGTGGGGACGATCCTGCTACCCAGCATCATGGCTGAGTGAGGTGGGTGCTGGGCCGTGGGGACGATCCTGCTACCCAGCATCATGGCTGAGTGAGGTGGGTGCTGGGCCGTGGGGACGATCCTGCTACCCAGCATCATGGCTGAGTGAGGTGGGTGCTGGGCCGTGGGGACGATCCTTCTACCCAGCATCATGGCTGAGTGAGGTGGGTGCTGGGCCGTGGGGACGATCCTTCTACCCAGCATCATGGCTGAGTGAGGTGGGTGCTGGGCCGTGGGGACGATCCTGCTACCCAGCATCATGGCTGAGTGAGGTGGGTGCTGGGCCGTGGGGACGATCCTTCTACCCAGCATCATGGCTGAGTGAGGTGGGTGCTGGGCCGTGGGGACGATCCTTCTACCCAGCATCGTGGCTGAGTGAGGTGGGTGCTGGGCCGTGGGGACGATCCTTCTACCCAGCATCGTGGCTGAGTGAGGTGGGTGCTGGGCCGTGGGGACGATCCTTCTACCCAGCATCGTGGCTGAGTGAGGTGGGTGCTGGGCCGTGGGGACGATCCTTCTACCCAGCATCGTGGCTGAGTGAGGTGGGTGCTGGGCCGTGGGGACGCTCCTTCTACCCAGCATCGTGGCTGAGTGAGGTGGGTGCTGGGCCGTGGGATGATCCTTCTACCCAGCATCGTGGCTGAGTGAGGTGGGTGCTGGGACGTGGGGACGATTCTTCTACCCAGCATCGTGGCTGAGTGAGGTGGGTGCTGGGCCGTGGGGACGATCCTTCTACCCAGCATCGTGGCTGAGTGAGGTGGGTGCTGGGCCGTGGGGACGATCCTTCTACCCAGCATCGTGGCTGAGTGAGGTGGGTGCTGGGCCGTGGGGACGATCCTGCTACCCAGCATCATGGCTGAGTGAGGTGGGTGCTGGGCCGTGGGGACGATCCTGCTACCCAGCATCATGGCTGAGTGAGGTGGGTGCTGGGCCGTGGGGACGATCCTGCTACCCAGCATCATGGCTGAGTGAGGTGGGTGCTGGGCCGTGGGGACGATCCTTCTACCCAGCATCGTGGCTGAGTGAGGTGGGTGCTGGGCCGTGGGGACGATCCTTCTACCCAGCATCGTGGCTGAGTGAGGTGGGTGCTGGGCCGTGGGGACGATCCTTCTACCCAGCATCGTGGCTGAGTGAGGTGGGTGCTGGGCCGTGGGGACGCTCCTTCTACCCAGCATCATGGCTGAGTGAGGTGGGTGCTGGGCCGTGGGATGATCCTTCTACCCAGCATCATGGCTGAGTGAGGTGGGTGCTGGGCCGTGGGGATGATCCTTCTACCCAGCATCATGTTCTACTTCTTATGTTGCAGGAATCAGTGTCTTGCTACATGATACATTCTGATTTATCTTAAAAAGTTTATTTTTCATTTTTATTTATTTTTCTACAGGCAGGGTCTCGATCTGTTGCCCAGGCTGGAATTACAGTGGTGTGATTCTAGCTCACTGTAACCTCAGATTCTTGGGCTCAAGCCATCCTCCCGCCTCAGCCTCCTAAGTAGCTAGGACTACAAGTGTGCCCCCACCATGCACAGTTCTAAAAACAACTTTTAAGCTATCAACAATTCTATCTTATGCCAGGATAGGGCCAAGTGCTTCATCTTTAGAGGTGGCTTTCTATTCTCTTTGTCAAACTCAAGTTTTCTTGAGGTCCAATTAAGAGACTCCTAATAGCGTACAACAAATGAGTCATGGTTTTGTTTAAGGGGAAACTAACATCCGACCAATGCCTGGGCATGGGAGGCACGCTGTGGACTGCAGCAGGATATCCAGGGCCCAAACCCAGTTTACAGACTCTGTTCCTAAGCTGCAACCAATGTTTTGTGATGTGAAAACTATTTTTGAGGGATGTGTCAAAAATTAAATAGCAAAAATTTAAAAAAAACGACCTTCTTTAAGGTATTAGTTTTTAAAGGCTTCTGTTAATACATTTATAAGAGAAAAGCCTAACTTCTAACATCTAGAGAGACCGCCTGGCTCTAAGATGCCCCAAGTATAACCACTTACATTTCACACACATTTAAACATTTACACACACTTCATACACATTTAAAGAACATGAGGCCAAACACTTACTTCATCAAACCTTCTATCAGTCCCCATGACCAAAAGGTTGTTAAATTCTCTTTCCAAGACAGCACGAGCCTGAAATAACAAAAGAATAACAAATAAAACTTTCACCAAATCTAATTTAAAGGGTGTTCGCACCATAAATGTTTTTTTAAACCAAGACTTAAACTCCCTCACTGCTGGCTAGGTGTGGTGCCTCATGTCTATAATCCCAGCACTTGGGGAGGCTGAACTGGGCAGACCACCTGAGGTCAGGAGTTCAAGACCAGCCCAGTCAACATGGTAAAACCCTGTCTCTACTAAAAGTATAAAAATTAGGGTCTGGGCGTGGTGGCTCACGCCTGTAATCTCAGCACTTTGGGAGGCCAAGGCAGGCAGATCACTTGAGGTCAGGAGTTTGAGACCAGCCTGGCCAACACGGCGAAATCCCATCTCTAGTAAAAATACAAAAATTAGCCAGGCGTGGTGGCAGCTACTTGCAAGGCTGAGGCAGGAGAATCACTTGAACCTGGGAGGCGGAGGGTGCAGTGAGCCAAGATCGCACCATTGCACTCCAGCCTGGGCAACAAGAGCGAAACTCCATCTCAAAACAAAAACAAAAACAAAAAAAAACAACTCCCTCACTGCTATGACTACATGGAACCATAATAGTATTTTAAATGAGGGCTTCTAACGTGAAGTCTATGGATGGACCTTTGGGGAAAGGGGTTCACGATCCTCGGAGTCATAATAACGAAGGTATGCTGTGTGGGGTGGTCAGGGGTACTGGCAAAAGATATTCAATGTTCTTTTTTTTTGGGATGGGGTGTCACTCTGTTGCCCAGGCTGGAGTGCAGTGGTGCAATCACAACTCATCACAACTTCCACCTCCAGGGCTCAAGTGATCCTCCTGCCTCGGCCTCCCAAGTAGCTGGGACTACAGGTATGTGCTAATACACCAGGCTAATTTTTTTGTGCTTTCTGTAGAGGCAAAGCTTCAGCATGATGGCCAGGCTGGTCTCGAACTCCTGGACTCAAGCAAACTGTCTGCCTGGGCCTCCCCAAGTGTTGGGATTATGGCTATGAGCCACCTCACCTGGCATATTCAATGTTCTGTAGACTAATAAAAGTTCCCTGTTTTTCAATGAGCCCATGAGTCAAAAAGAATTACATAAGGCAGTTACCCATAAAAACAAAATGAATGAAATCTGCATGTGGCACAGCTAACAATTCTTCTTCCATTTAAGAACTAATTCATGTCAGCACGCGGGCTGGAATGAAAGGTCCTCCTTATCTGGTTTATTGCATGACTCTCAATGCTTCCAACAGAAAAGGGAAAGATGACGGACAAGAAAACCAGTTGTCTGAGGGTTTTTTTTGTTTTTGTTTTCTTTCTATTCGAGTAACTGTTTATCGTCAGGGCGCCAACTGAACACCGGGAGTGAGACACGGACAGGCTTGGTGTCACCTGTGTGTTCTGTGTCGGGATCTGTAACAGCAGGGCCAGGGCGCTGAAGTCAAAGGTTTCATCTAAGGCCAGAAGCGCTCCGTGAACACCGCTCTCAAGCAGATTGTTTGCATATTCTTTAAGGCCAATCGACAGGATCCAGCGAATCACTCGATCATTGCTCCAAACAAGCACATCTGCAAAAGAAAGAAGACGATTCTACAAGTGGCTTCAGAAAGTCATCTTTCTCACGCGTACCCTGTGACGCAGGAGAAGGATTCCTGCCATAGTTCCTAGTCCTTCGGCTCCTGCCGAACACTGCTGAACTGACAACTGCTTGCTGCACTGAGACCGTGCTGTCCTGCCCCCGCTCCATTCTCAGGGAAACTCTCCTGTTAGCACACGTCCTTCCAGTGAGCACAAGAGGAAGGAAGTGATTTCTAGAGAACAGAAAATGATGAGGATCCAGGGGTCAGAAGCCGGAGGACTGCAAGTACCTGTACACCTGCCATGTGTAACAAATGTACTTCATACACAGACTGTAACGTCTTCTGAAAGACTTCATCAGGAATGGAGCTGGCTTATAATAATATAAACGCTTTGCTCAATTCAACAGAAATCTCTCATTTCTAATCTTGAAGTCTTTGTCTCATTTTAAAATGAAAGAAACTTAAAAATATCATCCAGCATACTACAGACTCTGCAGGAAATCTTTTCTCTCCCTTTTTTTTTTTTTTTTGAGATGCAGTTTTTTTGCTCTTGCTGCCCAGGCTGAAGTGCAGTGGCACGATCTTGGCTCAATGCAACCCGTCTCCCGGGTTCAAGTGATTCTCCTGCCTCAGCCTCCGGAGTAGCTGGGACTATACGTGCACGCCACCACGCCCAGCTAGTTTTTGTATTTTTAGTAGAGATGAGGTTTCACCATGTTGGCCAGGCTGGACTCAAACTCCTGACCTCAGGTAATCTGCCCGCCTCAGCCTTCCAAAGTGCTGGGATTACAGGTATGAGCCACTGTGCCCGGCTCTCTCTGTCTTTTTGTTGACAAGGTCCTACTCTGTCGCCCAGGCTGGAATGCAGCCTGGTACCATCAGAGCTCACTGCAGCCTCAACTTCCTGGGCTCAAGTGGTCTTCTCACCTCAGCCTCCTTAGGAGCTGGAACTACAGGCATGTGCCACCAAGCCCAGTTAATTTTTTGTAATGACAGTCTCACTGTGTTGCTCAAGCTGGTCTCCAACCCATGGGCTCAGATAATCCTCCTGCCTTGGCCTCCCAAAGCGCTGAGATTACAGGCATGAGCTCCCAGGCCTGGCCACAATAGCTTAGCTTATGCAAATTAAATTATTAATTTTGTTCTATTAGATCTAAAAATAGCCACTGTATAAAAATATATGCGAATGATCACTAATCACTTCCAAAGACAGTTTCTGTCTATTGTAAAAAGATGCAAAATGGATAGAGAAAACAAAGCAGATGGGCATATTTCGTTTCCAATGCCGTTCTGGATAAAGTGCACACATACGCACATAGTGTACACATGTCAACCGAGCACTTTCCCCGTGGTTGGTACTGACTCCATCATGTGTAGGCGTTCCTTCAACGGGGCCATCTCCCAGCCGTGTCTTTATCCTAGTTTCTTTCTTGGTAAGAACTGGGGACGCAAACAGCACTCAGACCAACAGGCCGACTCCTGACGGCAGAGAACACGCACCTCCTCACTGTTCAGCGAGACTTGCCTCTTCTTATCATTATTAGTGATTTCTTTGCATTCCAAGAATTCCGGGAGACCTGACTCTGAGCTCAATGTTTACTGTCTAACTTTAAAAAGCAAATTCTGACTGGGTGTGGTGGCTCCCACTTGTAATCCCAACACTTTGGAAGGCCAAGATGGGAGGGTCTCCTGAGCCCAAAAGTTCGAGATCAGCCTAGGCAACATAGTGAGATCCTGTCTCTACAAAAAAAAAAAAAAAACAGGCATAGTGGAGCACACCTGTAGTCCCAGCAGCTACTAGGGAGGCTAAGGCAGGAAGAGCACTTGAGCCCAGGAGTTCGAGGCTATAGTGAGTGAGCTGTAATCATACCACCGTACTCCAGCCCAGCCTGAGCTAGAGAGCAAGACCTTGTCTCCAAAAAAAGAAGAAGCTGGGCGCAGTGGCTCACGCCTGTAATCCCAGCACTTTGGGAGGCCGAGGCGGGTGGATCACGAGGTCAAGAGATCGAGACGATCCTGGTCAACATGGTGAAACCCCGTCTCTACTAAAAATACAAAAAAAAAAAAAAAAAAAAAAATTAGCTGGGCATAGTGGCGCGTGCCTGTAATCCCAGCTACTCAGGAGGCTGAGGCAGGAGAATTGCGTGAACCCAGGAGGCGGAGGTTGCGGTGAGCCGAGATCGCACCATTGCACTCCAGCCTGGGTAACAAGAGCGAAACTCCGTCTCACAAAAAAAAAAAATTAAATTAATAAAATAAATTTCTGTCCATGGTCACAGAGGAGCACTGAGTGAGGGCTCTCCAACAGAGAAGAGAACGCCATGTCTTCTGGATGAACGTCCCACGTCCTCTAACGCCTCCCCGGCCTGTGTTTTCTAACTGAAATGCCCTTTCCTTACTCTAGGCAGCTCCTGCTCCTCCTCCAAGGACCAGCTGAAATGGGCATGCTGCCTCTCCTTCCACCCTGGGAGCAGAACCGCACAGTCCTCTCTTGTGCTCCTGAACCCCCGAATCAGCCCCCAGTCGTATTTCTCACACTTGAATCATCAAGTGAGCTTGGCTCTGCTGTTACCTAACAGTGTGGAACAGCATTTCGGAGAGGAGTACATTGGGCACAACAAAGGAAAGCTCTCAAGTCACGGGGAGTGACTAGCCTGACATTTCACCTCCGACAGATGTGAGAGCACAGGCAAAAGTCCTCTGGCTGTGAGGAGGATCTCAAAGCACTCATCGGCATCCAGCCCTCCTCTGCAATGACACTAGACTGGTTTCCACTTAAAGCCTTTCTTCATTTTTTGAAAAACAGGAAGACACTGAGGCTGCGACTGCACCAGCAGGTAGGAGTGAATGGAATCAATTCAACGCCGTATACTAGCCTTTGATTTCATTCTGACTTTCTTCTCTTTTTCTTTCCAGTTCTTTCCGGTCATAATTTAACCTTCTCAGGCACATAATTCCACATTGGAAACTGTTTCTATTTGCAAGAAAAGAGAGCAGATTTAGAGATGGTAACGGTGAAAAATCCTAGTCAGTTAGTAAGAACAACCTATATTAAGTTACCTGTGAAAACTGTCAACCATTTTCAGCTGCCCTCGAAGGTCTTTCTTGGTCAAGTGGTCCAGCATCCTGGCATCCACAAGGCACTCCATGAAATAGCTGCGGTACTGGGGGAGGCCCAGGCTAGGGAGCCACTCGTTGCCAATCCACTCGTGGTTCATGTCCCCATAGGCAAGTGTCTGCTTTTGATAAGTGGAAAAGGTCACTTACGGAAGAAGTCTCAAAAGCAGTTTAAATAATTTTTAAAATGAATTTTTAATTTCTTACATATATTCTCAAAGGCTAAACTAATGATAATTTCATAATTTCAAAATAATTTGATCTCTTCTCACCTTTTAAATTTGTTAGTAAAATTTTTATCCAAAAGGAATCATAACATTAAAAATATATGCCTCATTGTGATAACTTTAACTTTTTAATCAAACTACAAACAAGCGTAACTGGCTACAGATTTCCTCTGTGAAATAGTTTCAATATAATGATATGAGAACAAAGATTATCACGACTCATGAACAAGTTTGAAGGCTCGACTCAGCTCTACTTGCTGAGATGACCTCTGGTTGGTTTACATTTTATTTTTAACACTCTGTTTTCCTAAACAGAATTGATTTCAAAATGAGTAAAAGTGCGTTAAAAAATAGTTTTAGAAAAGAGATAAAGCAACAACCAACAGGACTGAATGTGGAAATAGGCAAATCCACATTTGTAGTTGAAAAAACTCAACACTTCTTTCTCATAACCATTGATTAAAGAAGCAAAAAGAGAAAAGAAATAAGAATATAGACCTAAACAAACAACACTTAAGCAACCTGACCTAACCGATGCTTCATAGAACACCCCACTCAACAGAATAGATACTCTTTTAAAGTCTGTACAGAATCTCACCAAGACAGACAAATCTCAACATATTTAAAGAGACGGACATCAAAGTACATTCTCTGACTGCAACAGAATTAAGTTAGAAATCAACAATAAAAAGCCAAAATATATTTTTAATTGAAAGAAAATAAAAACAATATATTCAAAAATTGTGAGGAACAGTTAAAGCAATATCCCGAGAGCAAAAACCATGTCAAAGGATTATCAATGCAGAAAGACCTCGAAAATCAGTGACCCAAGAGTCTGCTTTTAAAAATTTAAACTAGGCTAGGTGCAGTGGCTCACACCTGTAATCCCAGCGCTCTGGGAGGCCGAGGCAGGTGGATCACATGAGGTCAGAAGTTCAAGAATAGCCTGGCCAACAGAGTGAAACCCCATCTCTACTAAAAATACAAAAATTAGCTGGGCATGGTCGTGCAGGCCTGCAGCCCCAGCTACTCAGGAGGCTGAGGCAGGAGAACGGCTTGAACCTGGGAGGCAGAGGTTACAGTGAGCCGAGATTGTGCCACTGCACTCCAGCCTGGGGGATAGAGCCAGACTCTGTCTCAAAATGAAAAAAAAAAAAAAAAGAAAACTTTAACTAGGAGAACAAATAAAATCCAGAGCAAGCAGAAGGAAGAAAGTAAAGAAGCAGAAATCAGCGAAACAGAAAACAGAAGAATAAGAGCCAACAAGCCAGCGAAATGAAAACCCAGTACTTCATAAGTCTCAATCAAATTAACAAACCCCAGCTTGGTGCCACATGACTGTAATCCCAGCTACTCGGGAGGCTGAGGCAGGAGAACTGCTTGAACCCAGGAGGGGAGGCTGCAGTGAGCCAAGATTGTGCCACTGCACTTCAGCCTGGGAAACAGAGTGAGAACCTGCTTCAAAAAAAAGAACGAAGAAAGAAAGAGAGAGAGAGAGAGAGAGAGGGAGGAAGGGAGGGAGGGAGGGAGGGAGGGAGGGGAAAGAAAGGGAAGGAAGGAAGGAGGGAAGGCAGGCAGGCATGAGTAAAGGATGGAAGCCAGATGTGGTGGCCCATGCCTGTAACTTTAGCTACTCAGAAGACTGAGGTGGGAGGATAGCTTGAGCCCAGATGTCTGAGACCAGCCTGGGCAACACAGCGAGACCCTGTCTCAAAAATGAAACAGAAACAACAAATGAGGGGACATTAATACAGACTCAACAGACACTGAAAGAATAAGGAACTACTATGAACAATTTTAAGCAACTTATTTCTTAAAAAATAAACTAGTAAAGCTAATGAGAAACGGGTAACACGTATCTCTACTAGAGCCTGAGGCTGTAATTATAGATCTTCTAACATACAAAAATGTCTACCCAAGATAGCTTCCCTGGTGAATTCTACCAAACATTTATCAAAATAAATAAATAAATCACCAGGATTCTACATGAAGTCTTCCAAAAAAGTTTGAAACGCCTTATCTCATTCTATGAGGCCAGCATTACCTTGAGAGCAAAAGCAAAGATGTAACACAACTATAGATCAATACCTCAGACACAGATCCACAAATGCATAACAAAACAGTGCCAAGTCAACAAGAGAGTAAAAGAATAAGATACCATGACAAGTATGGCTTATTCTAGAAATGTACGTTGATTCAACATTTGAAAAGAAAAAAAAAAATCAATGAAACTCTCACCATATGAAGAGAATGAAAAAACCATAAATCATCTCAAAAGATTCAGAAAAAGCACTTGACAAGAGTTCTTGTCATTGATGGAACTTCAAGCATTCCAGAAATGTAAGAAAAGTGCCTCTGCTGGATAAAGGGCATCTACAAACCCTAAAGCCAGCATCATGCCTAATGTAACAGACTGAATGCTCAGCTGGGCATGGTGGCTCCTGCCTGTAATCCCAGCACTTTGGGAGGCAGAGGTGGGCGGGTCACTTGAGGTCAGGAGTTTGAGAACAGCCTGGGCAACACAGTGAGATCCCGTCTCTTTAAAAAAAAAAAAAAGACAACGTGTTTCTCCTAAGATAAGGAACAAACTGACGATGTCTACTCTCACCATTTTCATTCAACACAGTACTGGACATCCTAGCCACTGTAATAGGTCAAGGAAGAGAAATAAAAAGCACATAAATTGCAAAAAAGAAAAAACTGTCTTTATTTGCAGATGACACAATTTTCAATGTAGAAAAGAAATCTACAAAATAGCTGTCAGAATAAGTAGGTTTAAGCAAGATTACAGGATACAAAGGCCAATAAAAATGAACTAACTATATTTCTAAATACTAGCAATGAACTGAAAAGTGAAATTTAAAAAGTACCATTTACAATGGCATCAAAACCTGTAAAATCCTCAGGGATAAATCTAACAGAATGCGTGCACAACTTGTACAATGAGCAAGAACTAAACACATTACATACAAACACATATTGAAGGAAGGTACCTGAGATACCTGGCGTCTCCAGCTGAGGAAGACTAAGTTAGGGTCACGGGAATTCTGTGGTTACATTACGGGGTCTCGGTGGTGACTCTCGACTAACACCATGTTGGTCTTGAAACTATGGCTTCCAGCATCATTTGTTATTTGGTCCAAGCTAGAAGCAAAACTAAAATTCTAACAAAGAATGTTTAAATTCTAATAGAAAAAAAAATGCTTCACTACTTTCTCTAAAGAGAAAGTGAGAAATATGCCAAACACTTGTGGGCCATCATCAAGGTATCTAACAGTGTCATCATGCTTTCTCCACTCTTCTAAACCTCAATCTTACAGGCCTGATATTTATTTATGTATTTTTTGAGACAGGGTCTCACTCTGTCACCCAGGCTGGAGTGTAGTGGCACGATCTCAGCTCACTGCAACCTCCACTTTCCAGGCTTAAGCCATTTTCCAGCCTCAGCCTCCCACGTACCTGGGACTACAGTCTCAAGCCACCAATGCCTGGCTAATTTTTTTATTTTTTGTAGAGACAGGGTTTCCCCACATTGCCGAGGCTGGTCTTGAACTCCTGGGCTCAAAGTCATCCACCTGCCTCGGCCTCCCGAAGTGCTGAGATTACAGGCGTGAGCCACCGCGCCTGGCCCAGGCCTGATATGTGCAGCATGGATATCTGGTATCATTTTCTTGCTTGCTGATTATGTATTTTTAAATGGGGAAGGTAAACAAAGGAACTGTCTAAATAGAAAACTGCATGGAAGCAGAACCCTACTTGTTTCTGTTTTCTCATTATATGCTCTGCTCAGCCTCCTGAAGTGGCTGACAACATAAACTCCCAGAAGGGTCAGGTTCCATCCCAGGGAGACTCAACTCTTCTCCTGGGCTGCCATAGCAGCCTTATGAAAAAAAACTTATCAGGTGAGCTCACAGTCAAGGGAACATTGGAGCTAGAAGAGACACCCACTGCACAGTGTTTACTGCCATCCCTGATACAGTCACAAGCTTTACAAACCCAGTTTTATGAACTCCCTAAAATGGGAGCTCCGTGACGGGGGGACCACAGCTGTCCTGCTCACAGATGCTCCGCACAGCCAGGCTCGCTCACTGTTTGTTAAATGAGGTATAAATGGTTCTGACCGTGCCTTCATGTTTTCCTCTCCTGAGTGTCCAGGGGGAGCTCAAAGCTCTCTTTGGTTTAAGAGTGGGCCACTGTGTACTGCCCTCGGCAGCCGGCGGCAGTTCCAGCTGGAAGAGGGAAGGAGGGAACGTAACACAAGCCTCCACTAGACTGCAGGTCGGCTGGTTCTGGAGTCATCGGCACGGCCCGGTCTTGTTTCTATTTCCCCTGCGAAGAGCAAGGCTCAGCCTATTCAATTTACACTTCCTGTCTCTGGCTCCAGCGGTTTCATACCGAAGTACTAACAAAGTTCTGCTGCTCGGCAGAAAATATACTGAAATTTAAGTCATTATGAAATGTGCCCTGTATAATTCATTTATGGTCATTACAGGCCCTGTAAAGAGATATCTAACAAGTTAAATAATTAATAAGGTTATTTATCTGGAGGAGAGGCACAGAACGCTTAAATCCAGGGTGAAAAAAGCCCACAGAGTCACACTGTAGCTATTTTGTTGGAAAAAAAAAAGTGTGTGGGGGGGCAATATAATCAGCTATACTTTAGGAGTGCAAATAGAAGGAAACGGTGCTTCAACTGTCACCTTGTAATCAGGGAAAGTATGATTGACAATCGTTTTGATTTCTTTCAGATATATAATGATTCTTCAGAAGGCCTCAGATACCAGTCCGTTCGTGAAAGCCTCTAGAGCTGCCTGTCCAGCTCATGGCTGCGATGTGCCACTGAGACACACACCCTGACGCAGAAAGCTGGTGGCATCGCACCAGTATTTAAGGCAACCACTGGTATTTAAGGCAAGCTGTCCTAATGTACAGAAGAAGGCAAAACGGTTGGGAGAGAGCTTCTGGTAAGTTAAAGAATTGAGAAGATGAAATGCAAATGTACAGTAGTTGAAAAGAGACTCAATTCCTTAGGATTGCATTAGTAAGAAAAACCTTGAAATGGACATAGTACTAGGATAGTATGTAGAAAAATATCAACATAAAGACAAGAGGAAAAGTCACTATGCCAATCTTTTGGTTTGGAAATTTATTAGAATATAAATTTCCCCATCAGTATATCTTGTAATAATAATAATAATGTTACCCTACCAGGAAATTACATACATAATCTCAGAAGCTGCCTAAGCCACTTTATATAAAAGATCATATGTTAAACAAAGCAATCTATGTTAATTAAAAATAACTACCATGGTGCCATATGGGAAATATTCAAAATTGTCCATGAGACGTACTCTTTAATCCTGTGCTCTGCCTGCTCAGTGATTTCAAATCATTAACAATTCTGTAGTCTGGACAAATTAAGATGCTATAAACACCAAAAAAAAGTGAATTACACAAGTTTTCATACTCCAATTGCTTTCTGCTGCTGTACATGTAGTGAAGAATGTATTAGAGAAAGACTCCAACCTGAGCCCAGCTTCCCTCCTCATCTTCCTGGGTTACGTGGTTAGGAATGCAAAAGAACATAACGATTAGTATTGGTGAGCTCAGCAAGGCAGGCAAAGCAACTCTGCAGGGAAGGCGCAGCTTCGCTAAGTGAAGCTCAGGCTATCACATACCTCGGGTAAGCGTCATGCACAACTCATGCAAAACCAACAATCTCCACTTCTCATGCAAGGAGCAGACTCTCTCCACACCAAGCACATCCACGGAAGGAGCAGGAGCCACATGATCACATGGAGCTCAACTGAGATCTCTCAACAGCAGAGCTAGATTCAATCTATTCTAAATAGAGAGTCTACCAACTTTAAGTTCCTGGAAAAAAATCTAAAATAAAATACAAATTCTACTTACACATTCAACTAATAACTAAATGAAATACTTATCTGGGACAACTGAATGGAAAATAACATTTTTGTTTTCAACAAAAAGGCAAAGAACCCAGAGGGTCTGAGGTGGAGAATGTGCCGGGAGGAGTGCAGGCTGCGGCGCGTGACTAACCGTTTGCGGCGTGGCTGCGAGCGTTTCCATCTCTTCATGTGTTAACCAGACATTTCCTGTGGTCTAAGGTGACCCCAGTGCACCAACCACATCCAGGGCAAGGGAAGCAGTGACAAAGAGGAGAGGGGCACACACATAAGCCACAGGCACAGAGAAGGGGCCGAGGAGGCAAAGTTCGCTCTTCTCACTTTTCAGTTCAGATGCCCCAACAGGATAACCATCCCCAGTTAACACTGTGTGGCCCACACCACCAGCAGAAGGGCACACAATGCCCAGAGCTTTAGATGCGATGCTTACCCAAGGTATGTGAAATATCAAGAGAAGAAAACACATTGTGTACTTCTGGAAACTGGGTAATTCTCAACTAACCACTGACTGAGTATATTTAAAACAGATGATGAAACTCTTGGTTTGGCTACAGGAGGGCTTTCTGCCGCAAATGCTCCGTGACGGCCTGAAGGGCTGAAGGCAGGCTACAGGGCAGAGGGGTCACGGATGGGCTGGGCAGTGCTGATGGCTCTGTGCAGCCATCAGAACCAGACATGAGACACAGCGGCCTGCGTGTCTACTTGAGGGAGATGTTTTCCTTGCACTTTGGCGTGGTGTGAAGTTTGCCTTATGTGAGGTGTTCTCCGTCATTACGGAAGACAGCGTATGAATACAGGAGAACCCCCTGGCACCTTCATTTCCAGACAGGCTACTCTCACCTGAAACCACTGGGGAAGAGATCAGACACTGCTCACAAGGCACGCCATGGGAAAGGAGCTCTTGGAGCAACAGAAAAGAACAAGGCTTATTGTTGATTAACATCATTTTTTCACTAAGAAGGAAAAAATAAATAAATGAAAACTTTTTTTGTAAGGTAACTGGGAGCCCTGAATCCAGCCTTGACCTGCTCCTTGGAGAAGTGTGTTTGCGACGCTTTAAATCTCAATGAGAATTAGTTTTCGGCCGGGCATGGTAGCTCACACCTGTAATCCCAGTACTCTGGGAGGCCAAGGCAGGTGGATCACTTAAGGTCAGGAGTTCAAGAGCAGCCTGAACAACATGGTGAAATCCTGTCTTGACTAAAATTACAAAAATTAGCCGGGCGTGGTGGTGGGCACCTGTAATACCAGCTACTCAGGAGGCTGAGGCAGGAGAATTGCTTGAACCTGGGAGGCAGAGGTTGCAGTGAGCCAAGATCGCACCATTGCACTCCAGCCTTGGTTACTGGCTGAGAGAGAGGAAGACTCCATCTCAAAAAAAAAAAAAGAATTTGTTTTTTTCTGAGGAGACAAAAAGCCGAGACTAGGAATCCAGCCAATGTAAAAAACCTGAACTTTATAAATCAGAAGTTGGCCTGCCCTTGTCTCTCGATAACCATTCATGTTTTCAGTAAGATAGTTCTTAACTTTTTCCAGCAGGATAACCCTTCTTAAGGACTTCCCACATGGAGAAAAACTATATGAGTACAGCTCATGTTTGATGAACATTTGCATATTTGTGAACTGCTTGAAATCCTGAGCTCCCAGGGTCTTTAACTCTCCAAATGGAAAACACCTAAAGGCCAAACAAATCAAATACAGTAAAACACTGGTTACAAGGCAACCAGTAACCTACTCTTTATTTTCCCCTTTAGTTTTTATTTCAAAAATGTGTCCACAACTGGAATGATGGGGAAGGGAGAATCAGAATGCTTCGGGGATCTTTTCCAGGCATGGCTGTGCATACCAGTAGTCACAGCTACTTGGGAGACTGAGGCCTAAGGACTGCTTGAGCCCAGGAGTTCCAGACCAGCCTGGGCAACACAGTGAGACCCATCTCTACAAAAAATACAAAAATTCCTTAGGGATCAGTTGTGATGATGGGATAACAAGTATCTCTTAGTAGTATATCAGCTATATTTAAATGGATGCTTCTGGCTGGGCATGGGGCTCACACCTATAATCCCAGCACTCTGGGATGCGGAGGCAGTAAGACTGCTTGAGGCCAGGAGTTCCAGACCAGCCTGGTCAACATAGCGAGACCTTGTCTCTAAAAAAGTTTTTAGAAATCAGCTGGACGTGGTTATGCACACCTGTAATTCCAACTATTTGGGAGGCTGAAGTGGATGGATTGCTTGAGCCCAGGAAGTTGAGGCTGGAGTGAGCTATGACTGAGCCACTGCACTCCAGCCTGGGTGACACAGTAAGACCTTGCCTCTAAAAAATAAAAAACGTAAATAAATCAGTAAATAGATGGGTGCTTCTAAGAAGCCTGCAAGAGCCAGTACTCTGAACTGGACACAGTTTTGTTGTTTTTGTTTTCCTGAGACACAGACTCACTTTGTCACCCAGGATGGAGTGCAATGGCGTGGCCTCAGCTCACTGCAACCTTCACCTCCTGGGTTCCAAGCAATTCTCCCGCCTCAGCCTCCCAAGTAGCTTACTCCTTAAGATGCTACTTATACACGGAATGATATGGATAACTTTGCAGACATAACGTGAAGTGAAAGAAGCCAGACAGAGAGGAGTGAATACTACACGATCTTGTTTACATGCAAGTACAGAACCAATAGAGCAGTCTATGGCGTCAGGGCCAGCTGCTCACTGGGTCAGATCCCATTTTTCAACATACGTTTGGACCACACAGGGGATGATGCTGACTTTACAAATTCACTTAACTGTTCACTTGTATGTGCATTTCACTACCTGTATACTATATTCCAATAACATAAAAATACACTATAATTGGCTCAGCAAATATCTCTATATATAGTACAAATGTTAATTACTCATTCAGTTTGAATCATGAAATAGGAAATGAAATTAAAAATGTTTAATTATTGCCAGGGTTTGTATATTGGAAAAAGAAGAAAAAAAATTTTTTTTAATTAAAAAAAATTAATTATAAAATGTGTCCTTAAAATATTGCCTTTTTCCTTTAGAAGGCCCTTAGATTGACTCCACTTTGAGAAATTCAGCTGGGCGTGGTGGCTCATGCCTGTAATCCCAACACTTTGGAAGGCTGAGGTGAGAGGACTGCTTGAGCCCAGGAGTGCAAGACCAGCCTGGGCAACACAGTGAGACCCCCATCTCTACCAATTTTTTTTAATGTGACAAATTCATATTTAAATTTATAATAACTACGTTCCTATCTTTAAAAAACCTCATATTTTTATAGTATGATGCCATTGTAGCCAATCTTTCATAAAAGCATTTAATAAAGCTTCTTTTGACCATCCAATTCCCCTAAATTAAAAGTGATAATCTATTTGGTGCTAAAATTTGAATTACGCTTGATGTGCTGTTAAGGAACTGGAGAAGCAATGTAAACAGGCAGTGATACCTTCAGAGAGGCATTCCCTGTTTCCAAAGAGTGCAGGAGTTGTCTCTGAACGTACCGTTCTAGACGTGGGCGGGGCAGACGGGCTGGTCAGCGACATGATCTCCTGGATGGCCAGCCTCAGCTTCAGCCTGTGCAGGGGGTTGCTGATCCCGATCTCACGCTGGATCTCTGTGTCGGACAGGGCCGACATGATGGCCCCGCTTTTCACGTTTGCACGGCAGGCCGCCACATACCAGGCTGGCATCCCAACCCAGAGCTGGAAGCGGAAAGGGGAAGGCAGCAGAGTGAGGTACAGTCTACGAGGTGGAGCAGCAAGTTCACGTAATGTAACCCACACAACTAGGGATTAAATGAAGGACATACCTCCAGCCACACCACAACCGTTGGCCCGTCCCATTGGGCAAAAGGTAAACCTTGTCTCCGGGCTTCCTCCAGCAATTCATGCCTACAAAGGAGAAGACACTGAAAATCAAAGAATCAGCCAGGCATGGTAGCTCACACCCATAATCACAGCTCTTTCGGAGGCCAGGGTGGGAGGATCACTTAAGCCCAGGAGTTCAAGACCAGCCTAGACATATAGCGAGACCTCATCTCTACAAAAAAATTTTAAAACTTAGTGAGGTGTGGTGGCACACACCTGTAGTCCCGGCTACTCGGGAGGCTGAGGCAGGAAGACTGCTTGAGGCCAGTAGTTCAACAGCAGCCTGGACAATAAAATGAGAAGCATCTCTACAAAAAAAAAAAAAATTAGCCACGCATGGTGACACATGCCTGTTGTCTCAGCTACTTGGGAGGGTGAGGTGGAAGGACTACTTGAGCACAGGAGGTCGAGGCTACAGTAAGCCATGACTATGCCACTGCACTCCAGCCTAGGCAACAGAGCGAGGCCCTATCTCTAAAAAAAAAAAATTAAAACCAGCAAAAACAAAAACAAAATCAAGGAACCACTATCATATGCATATATCTAAGAAGTGAAACCAAGAATTACAAGCATTTGCAAAAGTCTAACAGTATACAGTCTGCCCTCTGTATTTGCGGATTCCACATCCACACATTCAACCAACTGCAGATCAAAAATATTCAGGGGGAGAAACAATAAAAACCACATAGCACAGCAGCTATTTACATAGCATTTACACAGCACTGGGTATTCTAAGTTAACCAAGAGATGATTTAAAGTATAGGAGATTCTGCCTACATTATATGCAAATACCATGCCATTTTATACAGGAGACTCATGCTTCCATGGATTTTGGCAGTTAGGAGGGTCCCGGCACCAATCCCCCATGGACCCTGAGAGACAACGGTACATTCTCATCATTTTCCTTTACTCTTCTACAGCTTGAATATTATCAACAGCACCCATTTCACACGAGTTCTGTGTCTACTCCAGAGTGCCTGAATGAGGAAGTACTGACTGGTCCCTCTGATTCTCCACAGGACTCCCGTCCCCTCACAGAATCAGTTGTTCCCAACTTTACAACCCCAGCAGTCTTCCCGCCCAAGGTACAGGACATCCAAGGGCAACAATCACTATTCCTGTTTTAAAACAGGAAGACCACTACCTGGAAAGAGGAAACCACACCTGGTCTAAACAAAACAGCTTCTCTCAATGAGAATCTCTCAAAATGGTCGCATTTACCCAAAGGAAGAAGGAAAAAGAATACTGCAGACTTTTTTTTCAGACAGACTCTCACGGGTTCAAGCAATTTTTCTGCCTCAGCCTTTTTTTTAATTTTTGAGACACATGTGTCTTGCTCTGTCGCCCAGACTGGAGTGCAGTGGCGCGATCTCGGCTCACTGAAACCTCTGCCTCCCGGGTTCAAGCGATTCTCCTGCCCCAGCTCCTGAACAGCTGGGACTGCAGGCATGTGCCACTACACCGAGATAATTTTTTCTATTTTTTGGTAGAGACGGGGTTTCACCATGTTAGCCAGGTATCAATCTCCTGACCTCGTAATCTACCTGCCTCAGCCTCCCAAAGTCCTGGGATTATAGGCATGAGCCACCGTGCCTGGCTGCCTCAGCCTTTTGAGTTGGAACTACAGGCGTGCACCGCCCGGCCTGGCTAAATTTTTTTGTTGTTGTTGTTATTTTTAGTAGAGAAGGGGTTTCACCATGCTGGCCAGGCTGGTCTTGAACTCCTGACCTCGTGATCCGCCCGCCTCTGCCTCCCAAGTGCTGGAATTACAGGTGTGCGTGCTCGGCCATACAGCAGACTTTTAACACTAAAATGTTATGATCTAATGTAGCAGACAAGTAGTGGATAGCTGTCTCTACTCTACACTGCCATTTAGCTGACTACTTGCTGATCAAGTTACTGGGTCATCCGCGGTTGACTCCACAGGCTTCCTACCCAGGAGATTTGAAATACTAACAGCTTTCTCAGTGCAGGGGGAGCCTGAATGCAAGAATGTGTCACTGGTGACCATGAGGAGGCAGGCAGGGTTAGTCCTGCCACACATCTCTTCGTGTGATCGTAAATATTCTGTATGCCTTATTTTTAAATACCCAAGGTTAACATAATTTTGTCTGACATGGGTATTTGAGAAATAACACTATAAGCTTGGTGAATCTCATCTTATTTCTCAAGGCTTTCAAAGAGGCTAATTGTTTAAAAACATAAAAAGCCTCAGAGAGACGGTGTCATTATAACGGAGAGGACATGTGCATTTGGTTTGCACCCATGGATATCCCCAGGTCATTTAAGCATCCCTAGGCTGCTTTTAGTTCATTTTTTCTATAATAATTTCTGTAAGACATGCCATAGAATCTCTTATTTCTAAAAATTTGATATTGGCTCTTGAATGTATTTCAATAGCAGCAGACTTTCCTTAGGACTATGAAGTAGAATCGCAAGATGCCAACACCACATCAAGGGGGCGGGAGGAAGGGCATGCTGCCGGCCACCAATCATCAGGTAGCGGCTGAAAACCTGCCTTCTGTTCCCTTGGGACAAATGCTCCTCAAAGACAGCCAGCAGAGCCTCCATCACACACTGGTGGGTGTAGGAAGTAGTACAGGTTAATTCCTGCCACATCGATCACAGAAAAAGCTGTGAACGCTAACAACATGGTTAACAGTTAAGGCTCTGAGCATCCATGGCCTGGCCAAGGAAAAGGGAGGATTTCACTACCGCCAAGTCAGGAGTTTGCCGCCCATGCTCAGCCTTGGCACTTTGCCAGAGACTTCATTTCTTAACAAGTAATAGACACTTACCGTAAACAAGAATACGGGGTCGAAAAAGAATTCTTTTCTTCTATTACTTAGAGACTGGTACACCCTGTCCTGGACCGCACCAGCACCCTCTTACTGGCAATGATCACTAGCTTTCATAAAAAGTCCTTTTTAGAATGGGGATGCTTCTGGGTTCAGAGGCAACAGTGGAGACGGTGTTAAGAGAGTGGAGGTAGAAGGATGTGTGTAAGAGTCGCAGGAAGTTAGGGAGCTGGCAGAGGAGGTCCTAGCTGGGTGGCAGGCCCAGGCCTTGGTCTGTGTCCTGGCTCCCCTCCCCTATCACACCAGTCCCTGATCTGTAAGACCAAACATGGGACCTGACCCCTGGGCTGGCTCTCCAGGTGGGAACCCTAGGGCCTCTGTTTTCTCTGGGAGGGGGATGTTGGGGAGGGGGCTGTTCCAGTCATGGGAAGAAGGCCCCTGTGTTGAGAGGATGCAGAGTCCAGAACCTGGAGGTGGCTGAGACCATGCCGCCCTGGCCCTCTGGGCCGTTTAGCTACATGAATAACTACATTCCTCCTTGTCGCTTGATGTCAGACTTGGGTCTTTCACTTGATACTGAGAATGCTATAACGCAAACAGCTCACATAGTTTGTGAATAATGACGCACATTTTATAATGAGGACATGGCATGATGATAAGGTGGTCTTTCATAATGAGAAAGCTGTGTGTTTTGGCAGATCAAATAGTATAAAAGGGATACAGAAGGAGCACTTTCTCTTAACTGTCCAAATTAAACATACTGCTTTGCTTTCATAAGACCTTTTCAATCCTCTGGCGCCCTGCAGAGTGAACGAGACTTGCTTTCACAGATACGGTTGCCGCCTGGGTGACAGAGCAGGACTCTCTCCAAAAAACAGCAACAAAATAACACCACCACCACCACCACAAGTACAGTTCTCCGACCCAGTCAAAGCCCCTTCCATGCTCCACGGCCATGGCACACTGGAAGAGTCCTGAGGACAGATGTAGGGTCACCCTGATGAGAAATGGATGGAGTCAGCATTTCTCACGCAAAACTAAAAAGATGCTTGCGCTGGGTGTGATGGCTCATGCCTGTAATCCCAACACTTTGAGAGGCGGAGGCGGGAAGATCACTTGAGGCCAGGAGTTCAAGACCAGACTGGTTAACACAGTGAGACCTCTCTCTACTAAAAATAAAGGTCAAGGCTGCAGTGAGTGGTGAATATGCCACTGCACTTCAGCCTGGGAAACAGCAAGGGCCTGTCTCAAAAATGAAAAATAAAAAGATCCTCTCACGAAGCTCAGCATACAGCCTGAGGCTGGTGACTGCCCACACTCAGCCCAGCAAGCCTCCCAAATCTGCTTACCCTGAGAAAGTACTATGAAGACAAAAAGGAGAAAATAAAAAGGGAACACTTTAAAAGCAAGGTTACTTAAAGAGATTGAGTTTCAGTAATACTGGGGAATTCCAGGAAGACTGTGAAAGCCTATCAAAGCTAACAAATGGCTCCAGGACAGCCAGCCCTGACTTGCGGGTTCATTACTACACATCTCAGGCACCAAGCGCCCACACCACGCTGTGTCTTAACAAAACTTGAACTCAGCTTGCCACCAAACTCCCCAGGTTCCTTAAGTTCTCTGTGAGTGAAAGCACTGGCTGTATAAATTTAGCAGTTAAAAGCACACCTTCTGAGCTAAATCACGGGTTAATAAGAAGAAAATAATTCTGAGAAATATACTTTCGTTCTTAAATCAAGAATGTCATAAATGTTAAACTGTCTTCACACAGTATTTTTTCTGGAAAACGCAAACATTTTTTTCACATTTATAAACAAACACTTTAGGCTGGGTGCGGTGGCTCACATCTGTAATCCTAGCACTTTGGGAGGCTGAGGTGGGCAGATCACTTGAGGTCAGGAATTCTAAACCAGCCTGGCCAACATGGTAAAACCCCAGCTCTACTAAAAATTCAAAAAAATTAGGTGGGCATGGTGGCGCGCACTTGTAATCCCAGCTACTGGGAGGCCGAGGCAGAAGAATCGCTTGAACCCGGGAGGCGGGAGGTTGCAGTGAGCCAGGATTATGCCATTGCACTCCAGCCTGGGTGACAGACTGAGACTCTATCTCAAAATAAATAAATAAAGCACTTTTTCTAAAATCAATTTTATCTCAATTGAAGTGAAAGAAATGAAACTGGGGAACGATCCAAGATGGCTGATCGCTAACATCTTGGGATTGCAGCTC